TAATAATAATAATAATAATAATAAATGCATTTATATATCTCATATCCACACTTTACAGTATGCTTTATGCCTTCATCACCTTTATAACTATATCAGTGAGTGATTATTTTTCATATAAATGTACAGGACTGGTACTGTTTGAGTTCAATATGCTGGACTTAAGTGGTGGGCATTTCCGGTTCAAATCCCCTCCCCCCTCCCCCCTCCCCAGGGTCTTTGAAAGTTTGAACTGATTGAGGAGTTTTCGTTGTTCACCACACAAACTGCACATGCTAATTAAAAGATTTATGTTAAATCTTAGGTCCTACCTCTTGGATAACAGTTCATTTATTCTACTACATGATGTATGGTTTTGCTGGGTTTTTTTAAAAAGTCTATCATACTGTCCCAATATCAAACCGCAGAACTCTTGCACTCTCTTGTTATGAAATTATGTGTAATGAAAAATTTACTTTTTTACATTGAAGAACATTTCTACCTTTTTGACTCCTTATTTATTTCGCTTTGTCTGACATGATGTCTTTAGCAGGTCTTGGGGGTGCAATTTCTTTTGGATGTTACAAATCCTACTACTTATTATTCTGTGGCCATCCTGCTACATTGTACTCGCCTTAACAAATGTATAGCAACAGGACACAATGAGTCACATAGCACAGCGACAATACAGCACTTCGGGTATCACAGTAAAGGTCTGTTTTAGCCCCTCAAGTAGTGGATGAGGCTAGTATTAGTGACTTTGAGCTGGGGGAGGCGGAAACTCTTGAATTTGGGAAAATGTAGGTTTTGCCCAATATCCCAAAATAAATGAATGCTACAAGTGACTCATTTGGTTGCGTTACTACATACATACATATAATTGTAGGAAGTGCTTGACTCTGGGCTAGTAACCAAACAGTATAATTATTTGCTTCCATTATATGAGCAGATTTACATCCTGATTATCATCTTGTTTACTGGTCATCTAAAGTTCACTCTCTTTTTTTCGTCGCAGGGGCAAGATGAAGAACATAACAGCAGGCCTGCTGGCCTTGTCTCTTTGTGTACTTTCTGTCTGGGCTCAGACCATCGGTGAGTGAAATTTGTATTTTTATTTCTGCTTTTGCTTTGAACCGGTGGAAGAAGATGTTGAATGTTGAAAGTGGGTAGTTGGTGGGAACTGTGATGTAGTTTACTCTTTTTTTCCTATCAAACATCAATCATCCTTATCTCTCTTTGATTTCTTTGTTTGTTACTCTTTAGTAACACCTAATCTTCAGCATGTATGTGGTCTATTTGTGTTGAAAGGGCTGTAAAACTGGACTAAAACTGCACACATACTTCAAGTGACTTATTTTATAACTTTTATTTTACGTTTATATGTGTTGGGGTGGGAGGTAAGAATTTTGCGGTTTTATTTTATAGAGAATGTTTGTTTAAGAGTATCGTAGTGTTTGTAAAATATTGTAAGGAATGCAGATAACCCACACCATCTCTCATGTGGACACCGTAAGGGTGTTTTAGGGTTCTATGTTTGCAAGTGTATACAGCGAACCTGCTCCAACAGCCACCTGTCCCAGACAATCACCTCTACAAATGACCACTTCTCACTCAATGCCTCTCACTCAATGCCCCCCCCCCCCCCCACGCATTTTTTTCTATATTATAATGATAATAGCATTGTACAAGACGTTCCCGCGCCTGAGACAACCGTTTTTTTCCTCTGCAGTGGGTGGCTGTCTTGGACAATTTCTACTGTACACGTACTTGATTTCTTTCCTTGCACTTGGGTCAGAAGTCAGATTCTGAGGGGACATGCTAGTTGTATCTTAAACCTCCCGTTGTTTTGTACAGCCTCATCAAGTATTTGCTTGTGATTTTTCTCTTGTAAACAGTTTGACCCCCCTTTCCCATCAATTATGAAATATTGAATGCCTGTTTGAGAACACTGCTGAATGCTAGAAGAGGGATGATAAAATAATAAATCTGAATAAAGACGTAAAATAACATTCATTCTATTACTGAATTATCAGACTCCTTTTGTTTAAAATGACGCGGACATTTCACTCATTTTGGAAGCCTTATTTTTTAGTGTTGAAAATGTTGCGGTTTAAAAAAATAAAATAAATGTGAGTTAAAGGCATAATGTCAGTTTTTAAGAAGATCATGTTGGCTGCTTAGTGGAAGATTCTGCCATACATCATTTTAAAGTGGGTGGTTGGCAGGTGCTCTGGTGTGGTTTACTCCTTCTTTCCCATCAAACATCTATCGTCCTTATCTCCCCTTCTTCTTTATGTTTGTTACTCTCTTGTAGCACCTCTAATCTTCTGGCGCTCTTATGACCTTATGAAGTTGCGAGCGCCGTAAAACCTTTACTAGAACTAAAACATCATTTTAAAAAGTGATGTATGACAGAGTGTTACACTGAGCAGTGGATGTTTGTATGTCTGTGGACATGAACTTCAGTGTTTTTACTCTTGTTCCCATCGCAGAGGATGAATTCAGCAACCCTTGCACCATTGCAAAGACCTGTGGCCAGTGCATCAGAACCTCCTCTATATGCTCATGGTGTGGTGCAGAGGTAAGTCACTCATGCTGCTGCTTTTTGAGGGTAAAGGAGAAATTTTTGAGTGGTACACCATTTTGCAGAGAAATTTTCTAAAATATTTAATGTTTCAGGACCATAGATTTTTTACTAGTTTTTAAGTTTTTGTTTTATTTCTTCCAGTCGTGTGTTTTCTCAACATTTTTTTATGCTCACAGTTTTTCATGTTTTAGAATTGGCAATCTACAGTCGAATCTGCTCTAACTGCCACCTGTCCAAGACAATCACCTGCACAAATGACCAATTCCCACTCACCCCCTTGTGTTTTTTACCATAGGGTGGCTGTCTTGCAAAGTTACGACTATGGTACCCTTAGACTACTACATGTATATAGTTTCACCTCTGAAGTGGTGCCAGTGGTTGGTGGGCACCATTGGAAAGTAGTACTTACTACCCATTTGTTGTTGCTGACTGACTTGCTTTTTCCCATCACTTAATGATCTGTCTTGGTCAGTGTACTTCTAATCAACTGTAGCTTTATCTATATACTTAGCTAAACATGTGAACATGCACATTTTCTTTTGCTCATTCATTTATTTAATTGTTTTCACATCAAGTTTATCCTTTATCTGTACATATGTGATATTTTCTTTGGAGTATTAAATGAATCTCCTTTTCTTCCTCTTCTTTCTTTGTCCTATATCTTCGAAACAACCAATTTGTGTCTAGTAGGAAGTTTAATACATACAAAAAAGTTACCAAATTCAAACTGTATTATTTAACCGTTCTTAGAATGGCCACTGTTGTTTTTATTTTGACAGCCTATGTTCTATTTTTTTTCTCCCAATCAGGTGTACCCAAGGGGGATGGCAAGGTGTGACATTGTCCAAAACCTTAAACGGAACTGCACAGATAAAGACATTTCAAGTCCAAAGTCCACATCGGAAACCAAAAGGGTATGTCATATTTATTAAAACTTATTCAAGATGATACATGTCGACTACGTTCTCTGAAAGAATTCAATGGTAAAATTGAATATATAGAATAATTCACTGTTGGATGAAAATGGGTCTATAAAAGGATGGAAAATTATTGCTAGACAGTATTTTATCTGGCAATAATCTTTTTTTTCCCTGATGTATTAATGCCAGGTGCAGGTTTCAAATTATCAAGATCTTCTGCTTTGACAAAAGATTGTGTAAGTAGAGCATTTATAGTTTGTAATGTCTCTGTTGGCTGAGCATTTTGAGTCTGTTCTGTATGTGAACATAAGGGAAGGAATAGTGTGCACATATATGTTCCTTTTAAATCATAAAAAATTATGTTTTAGTTTAGTCCATAGATTCCATGTATTGTTAGTTCTAATTTGATAACTTGTTCAAGACTATTATTTGCTTTGCCTATTAGTGACCTAATCAAATGGGTAACAGGAAAATATCAAGGAACGTGGCTTTTTTTTAGAGCATCTGAGCAAAGAAATGAATGGAGAGCCATGACCACCGATGTCTGTCGACAGATCTGGCACTGGATGATGATGATGATTAGTGACCACATTGTTTTGAACTCTGTCATGTTGAGTTGACTTACAAGGTTGTTGTTGTGGGTGGTTGACGGGTGCTCTGGTGTAGTTTGCTTCTTCTTTCCTATCAAACATCTATCGTCCTTATCTCCCCTATTTCTTTTTTATGTTTGTTACTCTCTTGTAACACCTCAAATCTTTTATGGCTCATATGACCTTATGCAGTTGCGCACGCCGTAAAACCTCTACTAAAACTAAACTACAGGTTGTTGTTTCCTTCCCAGAATGATGAGTGGACCAGTGGGGGCAAGACAAAGCCGCCTGTTCAGGTGCGCCCTCAAGAGGTTGAGTTCGTCATCAGACCAAGTGAGTGAGACATTGCTTTGAGCCTCATTTCCTCCCAGTCAAGTGTTGTCCTTTGCTGTTGCACTATTATTCATACTGTTGATGTGAAGGTCACTTTGTTGTATGACTTGTGGCAGTAGTTTTGTTTGCTATAGTGTATTAGCATCCCAAAGTTTAGTTCCTTCTTCAGGAGGAGGGGGTTAATCTGTGTTGTTTGAAATTTATTAACCCCTTCTCTGCCTTGTTTGAAACCCTTTTTGGCATGGTTTTTAAGGTAGACTATTATCTAAATGAAACAAATGTAGGCATTTTACATAAGCCATTTTGGCTCAATCAGGTGAACAAATATTAGCAGGGTCATTTTAATTTCCTAGGACTTGCATAATTATTTTTTCCTTTAATTTCAAGTAACAAGTTTCATGGTTAACCTATCATAAGTAAATGAGAAATTAGCATTTTAATGGCAATGGTGCAAATTGACCTTTTTACCCTCAACTGTCCCATGATAAATTATTAATTGACAGTGACTGAGTTTTAGCTTCTCCTTTAGCCGAAGAAACAAACTATCAGAAATGGACCCCTGCCTGCCCTCTAAACAACTGAGTTTGTGTTGAAATGTACCCTGTTCATGGGTTACTCATCTTTTTCTGCCGTTCTTTTTCCCTGTAACAGATGACCCAATGAACTTCAAGCTGCACTTCCAGCAGCAAGCTAACTACCCCGTGGATCTGTACTTTTTGCTGGATCTCAGCTACGGTATGGCCCGCCAGAAAGAGGCTCAACAGAGACTGATTGCCCTGGGAGAGGACATGCGTAAGTTGTTTTGTCGGGTAGTTGGAGGGCACCACCGGTAGGGACTTTCCCTTTGTTGTGTCTGTTTTGCTTTTTCCCCAGCACTAAATAACCGTTATTGTGTTGGCCTGCTTTTCTTTACTCAAAAATAAAACAAATTCAGTTCTTGTGAATTGCATTGTTTTGTTTGTTTGGATGGTTGGAAAGGGCATAAAGACCTGCTTTATATTTTTTTAGAATTAGGAGATGGATGATTTTTTCGTAACCTTTTGGGGAAAATATGCTGGTGATTATGGTCATCGTACACTTTTGTTTTATAATGGAAACATAAAATTGGAATGTTTAAGTGACTGCCAAAAATATCCCCAAGTCAAAGAAAATAGTTTCAGCTAAGTAAAACAGCTTTCATTCAGCAGGATAATAAACTGTCATGCTTCTTGGATGGTTTTAAGCCTTTTGAAATTGAGCTGTTTTATCCATAAAGAAGATGTTCTCAGTAGATGGGGGCGGGGGTGGGGGGGGGGGGGGGGGGGGGGGGTGGTATCATACTTGCACCGATGTTAGTATAGGTTTTTCTGTGTGAATGAAAGAAAAAAAAATCATGGATTTAGAAAATCATCAGTCTTGTACAATTTTTTTTGTGGCTTTACATTTAAAGTCTCTATCAATCTCTATTTGTAGAGTTTGCTTGTTTTGTTGGGGTTTTTTTTTGGGGGGGGGGGAGGGGGAAGCTGTTAACTCCTTTCACTTTACTCCTTTATGCTTTCTTGGAGGCTCTAAGGTTGGTTGGGAATTGTGACAGTTTCATCAGTTCACAGAGAATACCAGCCTACCTTTTACAGATTTTCTTATTTCTTTTACATCTGCATACTGTCTTGGTGTATAGATATGATTTAATTGTATGCTTTCTTGTCTTTAAGTTATTGATTTGTTTATTGCTTGTAGCTGTGAGCCTGCAGAATATCACCAACAACTTTCGCCTGGGTTTTGGCACATTTGTGGACAAGTTGCTGATGCCTTACACTGCCTGGACAGACGAAATGTAAGTTATTGTATGTCGGGCACAAGTGGGTAAAATGTTCATGATGTGAGGTGCATTGTGGTTCTTAATGTAGTGTGCATGTGTGTAGCTGGTTGATGCTCAAAACTTCTGATTTTTGGGGTCTTTTTTCTTTATTATTCAGTTTCTGGCTATGGATTATGCAGATGATTTGACAAGCCTTTTCATATTTTTGCCAATTGTTGAGGTTTCCTCAGGTGGTTTACAGGAGAATATTATTGCGATAAATTCTCATTGTAATAATTTGAAAGTTGGAGATTTGTATGGATGTATGACTTTATGGGGATTTTCCTAACTGACAGAATAGAAAGTAAGGAAGAAAACAGAGAAGACAATCTTTTCACTTCTTTGCCTTCTTTCTGACTGCATTACACTTGAAGACTACTATCTGTCATATGCTGGGTCATCCTGTTTAGTTCTTCTGTTGGGCTGAACAACTTCTCCTGTAGTGTTGATGGGGTTTGTCACATTTCATGTCTTAGGGTTCTGGTCTTTTCACTTCATTTCTAAAGACATTGAACTTCCCATTTTCAGGTTGCAGTACAGATGCCCCCTGAAGGACAAACGTTGCAGAGATCCTCATGCTTTCAAGAACCAAGTCAACCTGGGAGAAAATGCCCCCACCTTCGCTGTATGTCATATCATCTGCCTATATTGTTTCTAATCAGAGTGGTCTATGAAGACTGACATTGCTGTCCGTGTTTCATGGGCGTTGGTTTCTCTCTCGTACAACAGAAGTGTCTTTTTGATTGTAGGTTATAGGTTTCCATTTTGTAAAGGAAACCAGGGTTTAGAAATGGAAGGTTTTTGTCTTTTTTTCAAAGATATATTTTGTTATGTTTTTATTTGACAAACCTTTTTTAATTTTTCACCATTCATTAAGGGTTCAATTTTGAAAAAAATATTTGGTTCTGTCAAAAAGCATCTTTTTAAAGCGGGGATGTGGTATAAAAAACAATGCTTAGAATATTTTATTTGTATGTTTTGCATATTCACAGCAATCATTGATTACCACTTACAGTGCATTTTACTTATGCTATGAGATTTGTCTTTTTAATTTACACATTTTAAGTGGTATATCGTGTGAATTGTATGTCAGGACAGACGGAAATCTTGTGGCAGTGATGAATAAAATAAATAATTTTGTCTTGTCAGAGAAAAATGAGATCTGCTTTGGAGAATGTGTCTCAAAGTCTTGACGATGCTGAAGGTGGACTGGAGGGTCTGATTCAAGCTTTGGATTGTAATGTAAGTTTTGCCTGCCAGTGTTTCTCCTAACTATGATCAGAGAGAGAAAACTCTGGGGAAATACCTAACGTTATACCAAGGAAAGTACACAAATTCATTAAAATTGAAAATAAGGAGGCAAGTCAGCTGCTGGGAGACAATTACCGTGATATGTAAAAGTGAAAGATTAATAAGTCTTTAAGGTATTTCTCTTGATTTTTTTATACTTGTAATTTTGACCTAGTGAGAGCTAGAGACATGGGTTTTTTTTCTTCTTCTTCTTCTGGAGGGAAGGGGGGTCTGTTGGTTAAAAGTTAGGTTTATTGAGTAATGCATATTTGGATTTCTTTGTTTTAACATGTGCCATTGACTTTTAGATCTTGAATTTGTGTCCTGGAACATGTCTTTTGTTTCTTTTGACTCCTGACCATGGTAATGTTAGTGTGCTGATCTTCTCCCCATAAACAAGTGGAAAGGAAAAGAATCATATCATCTCGTTTGTTCCATGTTTCGCCCTAGCTTGAAAGTGTTGAAAAATTTTGATCATCGTATAATTATGGGTCATTGCATTTATTTAAATTTGTTTTGTTTTTTTATCATATGATTTGGAAACAGAATATCGGATGGAGGCAAGTTTCCAGAAGAATCATTGTGTACTCTTCCAACTCTCGTTTTCATTTGGCTGGGTCTGGCAAGGTGAGTCTGTACCTTCTGTCATTATACATGTTATTTACTTCTTGTGCCTTAAGCTTTTTTTTATTATGTGCTTGCATATGACATCAACCTCAAAGTCTTGTAGTGGTTGGGTTCCGAAGCTTTTTTACTTGCTTTGTATCACACTAAATAATTTTCAGCTTGCTAAATTCAGAGCATTATAATTGTTGGCCTCTATTCGGCTCCTCGGAAGGAGTAAAAATCACAAACAAGATATATTGTTTTGTCCTGGGCTTTCTTGTCTAGTTCACCCAATGTCAGTCCGAGAATTCATCAAGTCAGCCTCACAGGCTCTGTGTCATTACACCAGCCCTTCTCCTTCCTGGAAGATTTGAGATCAGGGCCTGTGAAATTTCTTCGGTCCTTTTTAGAATGTTTACCCGATCAACTCTAATTGTCTCATTCTAGTCCCAGCTTTTATTAGTTTTTCCATTTGTCCATCAGAGATCTGTATTTTTGAGGATGCGGGGCCAATGAGTGGGCAGGATTCTCCGAAAGCACATTTATACATCTTTTTTTTTACTGAAGTTAAAAAGAATTTTTAGGAGGTGTGCTCATTTGTTGCTATCTGATTTATAATAGTTTTGAGACCTTATCATTTGTTTTCATCTGTGTGTGGGTTGTTTTTTGCTTTAAAAGCTCTATATATCTCATTGTTTTATGTGTGTCTCTCTCCTACAGCTGGGTGGTGCCACCAAACAGAGCGACCTGCAGTGTGCTCTCAATCCAGATGGGTTGTATGAGAACGACAAAATATATGTGAGTACTGGCTTACTGAATGTCAACTGATCAGTTTTGTTTGAAATATTTTATTCATTTATTCATTTATTTTGTGTTGATTTTAATTCAGTTGACTTATATTTTGGGAAAGCTTTGTTCATGCAAATTTGCTTTTCCATTTCTTAATTTGTCTTTCTCTGGATTGCATGTACCTTTGTTCTGTTAAGGATCTTTTACTCCCTGAGTTAATTTGTTTGATGACGGTATTTTGTAAGTTCTAGAGTTACTTTTTCCCCCACAGGACTACCCATCGGTGAGCCAGATAGCAGCCAAACTGAATGAGAAGAAGGCTAATGTTATCTTCGCTGTCATGAAAAATGTGAGCAGCCACTACTATGGTCTGCGCTCTTTCCTCGACGGAGCTGTGGTAGGAGAGCTGGAAGATGACTCAAAGAACATTGTGCAGCTGATCAGTGAAAAATACTATGTAAGAATCTGAGAGTTACTCATTTTAAGTGTTTTTAAAAAAATGATGTTCCGAATTTTCTCAACTTAAATCAGTATTGTTAAGGTTGTGCAACTTGAAGGTCCAGTTCTTCCATTTGGAGAAACTCTATGCTATTGAACCTGTTTATAATGTTGTCACTTATCAAATCTGTGACCATGGGTGGTTGGAGGGCGATATTAGTAGATCATGCTTCTTTACTATCCCTCATTTGTTTCTGTCTATCTGCCTTGCCTTTCCCCAGCACTAAGTGACCATTACTAATTGAATGTGTGCTTCTCTTTACTCAAACAAAGATATCTATGCCATTATAGGAGAGGGTGTCTTTGAGATACGTCACTTTGGTCAATAAATTACTGTCTTTAAACTGATTTGAGAGCAGTTTCAAAAGTGTTTTACTGATAGATAGTCCAGATTGATTATAGCAATGTATAGAGCTGGTTGTTAAAAAACATTCCTTGCTTTAAATGTTATTCCATTAGTTGCTAACAATGCTTAATTTGCTTGACTGTTTTCCACATATACCAGGACCTGAGGTCCCGTATCAAGTTTCAGTCCAGCAATGATGACCACGTGGAATTGAAGTTTAGAACAAAGTGCCTAGGGTGGGTAATGGTGACCTATCTTCTTTGTATCCTTGAAATATGAGTAACTAGAAATATTGTTTCATTTTTATTGAAATTCACAGTTTGTGTTGGATAGAGATGTTTAGATAGTGTGAAGCAATTTGTGTGGGAAAGAAAGTCTAGTAAAACAATTTTGTTTTTGTCTAATAAAAAGCGCTGGACTCACAATGAGGACCAATGATTTGTCCAGATGTAAGTGCATGGTGCTTTTCATTAAGACTGTATCACTAAACAATGACAAAACTACATTTGAAGAGAACCTGCTGTTATCACAAAATGATGTTAAATCAGAAAAATCACTATAAGTATTCACAGCGAAGCAGCTATGTGTTTGTTGTAGAGTCTTGCAGACCCCTCCAGTCTTTAGGCCATTCCCAAAGGGGGGACATTAACACGTTCTTATGCACAGCAGAATTGTAAATGAGCTGATTCATCAATGTCATGCTCATAACTGTGCCTGAACTGCAAAGGGGAACTGCTGCTTTTTCTTTCCTAATCCTTACTATCGTCATTTTCCTCTACTTCTTTTGTATGTTTGTCACACTCTTGTGACCCGCTATTTCCATGCTGTTGAAGTTGGAGAGGTGAGGAGAGTAAGCCTGATTCCCTGTATGGACTTCTCTTTTGACGTCCACCCCTTTGCGCTCATATGACCTTATTCAGTTGCGAGCGACGTAAAAACTCTACTAAAAAAAGTCTTGCAAGTTCGTACTTAAAGAAAAGTATCGGTAGAAGACTCTCTCTCCATCTCTTTTTTTTTCTTTTTCTTGGTTTTAATTGAAATGCAGTGTTGAAACACGTTGAGAATGGCCAAACAAGTTGCCAGAGTATCTGTTATGGATTTTGTTCTTGTTGCTAGTACTGTCCAAGCATATGTCATTAAAAAAAATGTTTTTATTTTGAGTTTGCATGAAGTTAACAAGACAAATGAAAAAGGCAGAATTGTGAGTTGAACAGAAGTTGCTCATTATTCATCAGTGTTTTTGCAGTGTAGGCAACTGAGCTATTATTTGAATTTGTTTCCTCAGGAATCAGACCAAAGAAACGTCCACATGTACAGATCTGAAGATTGGGGACAAAGTGAGTTTCATTAGAAGTAACAATTATGGTTTGTGATGTTGTATTGCACTTGGGCAGATGGTTTTTTTTTGTGTCTTACTGCTTTTCATTGCGGCATCATAACATATGAAATGGTTGATTGCTTTCTTTGTCAAAGGTTTGACTCATACCCCTGAGTGGATTCCTTTGAATATTTACTGAAGGTAAAGCTCTAATATTATTTTTAAAAAGGGGAAATGCAACTGCTATTTGTGAAACATTACTACTACAAGTTAGCTGTATAAGGTATGATGATCAGTATCAATTTTTGTTCATAATGCCTTTTTAAAGAAATGATTTAACAGTCAGTCAGACTGGTTCAAAAAATAATTGTCTTGTTTATAATTCGATGCTAGAACCCAATTGGTTTGATGCTTACCATTACTCATGAATGCTAGAAATGTGCTTACTAATTACAGTGCAAATTGTCTAAGATGATCACCCATTGTGGAGTTGAAAAGTGGTTGTCTAAGACAGGTGGATGTCTTGGACAGTGAATTGCAAGGGGGGTAGTGGGAAGTGGTTGTTTTTGCAGGCGATTGACTAAGACAGATGTCCGTTAGAGCAGGTACAACTGAGCATCCATTGATAGGGTGCCTGGCGCTCATATGACCTTATGCAGTTGCGAGCGTCGTAAAACGTCTACTAAAACAAAACAGATAGGGTGTTGTTGTTCTATACACGTCTAACATCTGTTAAAGAACATGCTGCCGGCAGATGGAGAAATCATAATGTTTATGACATGCACATCCTCAGGTGGAGTTTGACGTGACTATGACGGTGAACCCAGACATCTGCAAAGACAAGACAGGCATTGTGGAGAAAGTGGTCAGCCTGGATGCTGTGGGCTTGAATGAACAATTGCTGGTGAAGCTGAAGATCCGCTGCGAATGTGAATGTGAGAGCTCCACAATGGAGGTGAGTCTTGCTTGGAAGGCAGTTTGTGCCCATGGCAGTTGCCACTTTTCTGGGATCGCTGGAATTTCATGGAAGTTTGAAATGTTTATGAATTTTTGTTTCTTATAACGATGTATCATGTACGATTTTTGTAGATTTGATCCCTTGCTTCTCATCACAATTTAATCGGGATATTTTTGTCATGACCTTTGCATCTCTGTCATTGTCCAATGTGCTCCATATTATCTCTCGTGGAATAATAGAGACCTGTAGATTTTGTCTGGAATAAACTCAGTGTGAAATATTTTTAAAAAATTTATATCACTATCTTTAATGGCAAGGTCTGTATTAAAGTCATTTATGCAATGATGATATATGTTAAATTCAAATTTTTTTTCTGTTTTTTTTTCCACTCAGGTACTGAACAGTGACAAGTGTTTCTTTGGTAACGGAACGCTTGAGTGTGGAATCTGTAACTGCAATGACGGTCGTTACGGCCGGCTGTGCGAGTGTGATGAGACCCAGATCTCCAGTGAAGAAGCAATGGTGGAGTGCAGAAAAGAGTGAGTGGATACCTTTTCGTATTCTAGTATGCTCCAAAACTATTTACACAATTTTCAAATTTTCAGTAGTTTTCTTCACAGACATTTCACATGTCTGAATTAACTTTTTACTTGTCTCAGCGCTGTGTTCAGTTTGTCGTATGATATAAGTCAGTTTCCAACTGGTAGACAATGTTTGAGATATGTCAACCCCCGGGGTGGTGCTATTCACTGAAGTGTCTTTATGCCATTCCCAAAGGGGGGACATTAACCATGTTCTTATGCACAGTACAATTGTAATTGTAAATGGGCTGATTCATCAATGTCATGCTCATAACTGTGCCAGGGAACTGCTGCTTTTTCTTTCCTAATCCATACTATCGATATTTTCCTCTACTTCTTTTTATGTTTGTCACTCTCTTGTGACCTGCTACTTCCGGGGTGTCTTGATAGTCGAAGCAGACTTTGTGCTGTTGAAGCTAGAGAGCTTCTCTGTTGACATCCACTCCTTGGCGCTCATATGACCTTATGCAGTTGCGAGCGCCGTAGAACCTCTACTAGTGGGGGGTTGGCGGGTGCTCTGGTGTGGTTTGCTCCTTCTTTCCTATCAAACATCTATCGTCTTTATCTCCCCCTCTTCTTTTTTGTGTTTGTTACTCCCTCTAATCTTCTAATCCTCTGCACGTATATGACCTTAATGTGTTGCAAGTACCGTAAAACTAAAACTAAAACTAAACCTCTACTACTAAAACAAGACTTGTCAATTTGAACTGGTACCATATAAATTTGACATTCGTCCAGTCTCTCACTGAAAAGTACACAGTTAATGAGTTGTAGAAGTGTGTTCTTAATCTTCCTGTGTTGTGCTCAGTCAATAAGTTATAGAAGTGTGTTGTTAATCTTCCTGTGTTGCACACAGTCAATAAGTTATAGAAGTGTGTTGTTAATCTTCCTGTGTTGCACACAGTCAATAAGTTATAGAAGTGTGTTGTTAATCTTCCTGTGTTCCGCTCAGTTAATAAGTTAAAGAAGTCTTAAGCGCATAGAGCATGCTCTTGAACATGGATATGCGCTATATAAATGCAATTATTATTATGTCTGTTGTTAATTCTTCTGTGTTGCGCTCATTAATGAGTTAAAGAAATGTGTTGTAAGGTAAAGAAGTGTGTTGTCAATATTCCTGTGCTGTGCTCCCAGTGTGAACGACACAGCCACCTGCTCCGGCAATGGTGAATGTATCTGCGGCGAGTGCGAGTGCTACCCGCTGGCCAATGATCCGGAGGAGAGATACAGCGGAGAGTTTTGTGAGTGCAATGACTACAGCTGTCCCATGGACAAGAACAACAAGCTTTGTGGTGGTAAGTACACGGTAGACCAAGGTAGGCAAGCTAGACCAATGTAGGCAAGGTAGACCAAGGTGGGCAAGCTAGACCAAGGTAGACCAAGGTGGGCAAGCTAGACCAAGGTAGACAAGCTAGACCAAGAATAACTTTTTAAACCCAGGCAATGAACTCTGACCTCCCGAGCCCGGAATAATTCGTCCCCTGGCTTCCTGAGCAAAAAAATGCCCATATGGCGACACACTCCATGAACTCCGCATGCCTCCTCTATTAAAACCAATTCCCTCTTCCTTGAGCTGCCTTGACCTTTACGATAGTTACGGCGAACCTGCAAGTCTATTTGATGTCATTTTTCTCATTTTTCTCCTTGTTCGGACTACTGTTCTATTGTAGACTAGCACACACCGATATATCGGTGCTTTAGGTAAAGGGCAAATAACCCGCACACCAATATATCGGTGTCATGGGTTCATTGGGTTAAAGAACTTGAACAAATGGGTGAAGGGGGGGAAAAACCACAGGATAATATACTTTTTCATGAGTATCTGAGTAGACAAACATGTGGGGAAACCATGAGTTCCTGTGTATATTTCTGGTCTAGCATTTGAACAAGAAGCAAAGGGCTTAACAGTGTTCCTGACCTTTGGGTTGTGTTTATTTCAGATTAAAAAACGATACCATTGAAATTGTCGGAGACAATCTCTTATTCTATCTACAAGCAAAAGGGTTTGTGAAATTCAACCCTGACCACTCATTCTGTTGACGGTGGGAAAAATACTGGCTATAGAAACATAATTAAAATGGTGCTTTGAGTGTTGTTTGTTGATCTTTGCTTCTTGCCTCATGCTCTCATAGGTCTATCAGAGTTTGTTAGCGGGTGGGTGGTTGGCGGGTGTTCTGGTGTGTTTTGCTACTTCTTTCCTATCAAACATCTATTGTCCTTATCTCTCCTCCTTTTTTGTGTATGTTATTCTCTTGTAACACCTTTAATCTTCGGCATTTATATAACCTAATTGTGTTGCAAGTGTCGTTAAACTCTTACTAAAACTAGAGTTTGTTACAATGCAGCATGTACCACAGTGAAGTGCCACTTGCAGTACTTTTAAATACGTCTAAAAAGTCTACAGTTGAAATGGTCCAAGATGGCCACCCATTGTCCAGGAGAAAAGTGACTGTCTTAGGCAGGTGGACGTCTTGGACAATATCTCATTATAATAAAGCAAAAACATAAGGGTGGTGCTCTTGTGTGAATTGCTCCTCTTTTCCTATTTAACATCTATCATCCTTATCTCTCTTTTTTCATTTACTTTGTATGTTACTCTCTAGTAGCACCTCAAATCTTCAGCACTTATATGAGCTATTTGTGTTGCAAGTGCCAAAAAATACTTACTTAAACTTTTAAAAAAACCACAAAAAATACTTGCATGCCGCTTACTCTGGCATTGTTGAGTGTATATGTGGTGAGTGCGAGTGCTACGCGCTGAAGGTGGAGAAATGAAATGAAGAGCAATCTGCAGGTGATTAGAGAGCGCTACTGGTATGTCTAACTTCTGTACTTTCCCTCTGTTGTTTCTATCTGCCTTACTTTTTCCCAGTACTAAATGACCATTTTTGTGTCGATGTGCTTCTCTTTACTCAGAACAAACAAGAAAAGCAATCTTGTTTCTTTCTCGATGTTCCAGGATCCAGGAAGGGAGTCTGTTCCTGTGGGACCTGTAACTGTCTGCCGGGCTGGTCGGGCCACGACTGCACCTGCACAACATTAACAGAGTCTTGTATTGCAGCTAACAATGTAAGTGAAAGTGAAAGAGAGAGAGAAAAGGAGAGAGAGGGAAAGGGAGAGAAAAAGAGAGAGGGAGGGAGTGAAAGGATCTCCATAGGAACTAAGTTCTTAGCATTGTTATAAAATGCATTGAGCGTTGGGTTTTTAAAATATTTTTTAGTGAAAATGTGCTATATAAATGTAATTTATTATTATTTATTAAGTTTTAAAATAAAAATTAATTGTGGTGAGGACATTTCATTCAAAGACAGGACTCTTATCTAACAAAAACTTTAGCTAATAGTTTCATTTAATTTGTTTTGGGAATATCGCAAGCTACTGAGGTCAAGTTCCTTATGATTGTTTAGGATGCAGTGACAAAGCTGTTGTTTCCTAAAAAATTATCTTTGTTTGGATAGCCTTAACTTTTTCTTTCCTTTTCATTAGACAAACCTGGCATATTATATCACCAATCATAAAGTCTTCTCTCTAAAACAATTCACAATAGAGTTGTTGCTCTGATGGTCTTCTTCTCGGTTTGCATCCTCAGAAAACCTGCAACGGCTTTGGAGAATGTGAGTGTGGCGTCTGCGTCTGTGACCAGAAATACGACATGGTGGGACCCACGTGTGAGGATTGCCCGGTAAGCTCATGTCTTGATCTTTGACCTGCCGTGCGTGTGGAGTAATTGGGCTTGGTATCAAAGGAAAAACCTGTAAATTCTTTGCCATATCGTCAGACCGAAGGGCTAGAACCCAAATGGCCACTGGACCAGAAAAGTAAAGTAAAGTAAAGGAAGTATCAAAGGAAAGTCTTAATTTCTTACTGTGATCTTGAATTTTTGCTTGAAGTTAGTTCAAAGAAATGCATGTTTCTAGACATTTTTGGGGCTTTCCTTTGGGGAAGATCCCTTATTGGTGACCTATACCCCAGTACCCAGGAAAGAGGCAGATCTTCGCGCTCTCATATGACCTTATGCAGTTGCGAGCGCCATAAAACCCATACAAAAGAGGCAGATGGTGATGGTGATAATGATGGTGATGATGTGTGTGTTTTCCTCCACAGACGTGCCCGAGCAAGTGCAACGAGTACATCGACTGTGCCCAGTGTACGGGCTTTGGCACGGGCAGTCTCACCCAGGACGAGTGTGACAGTAAATGTGGAGACTCCAAAAAGGTGGACACTCTGCCATGTAAGATTCTCAGTAAAAGAACAAAATAGAACATTAATAGAGCCGGGG